CCAAGTCTGTGGTTCAGAAAATTATTCGCCAGATAATCGTTTTTAGATTTTTCTAGTTATTTCCTTTGTAAATTGATTTGTTGGAGAATATTTGATAGGCATTGGAGTAAAATTTGTAACGAATTTTGTGTTCTAAAAATCAGTTCTGTGAGTTTGCTCGTTTGGATACTGATACTTTTTAGAGAATTACTCTAGAGCATCCTTATTTTAGAGTACTCCTTTTCCACAAATGGAAATAAAATAGCGTTTAAACAGTTAATTTAAAATGTACCGGTAGCTGTAATAATTTGTTTTGATAAAAAGCAATTTCGTGTAACTACTACAATTGAACTAATTTTTGCAAAACGGTGATAGTTTTTACTTCATTCATATCCTACAAATTGTATACAACGAGATAAACTTAAAAGGAGAATAAATATTTATGAGTTCTGTTGCCTTTTCTAAAGTTCAACGACAACGTTGGAAACTATAGCAGAAGATGAGTTCTTTAAGCAACAACGGAACAATTTGTTAAAATGTAACAATTACGAATCCCAACGGAAATGCTTGATCTCTTTGAATGCAACACTTTTTCCTTTTTTCCTGTCCTTGTATTAATTTGATCGTCTATGGATTCGTAGGCAATAAGCAAAAGCGCATATATATATTCCGTTCCGTCCGCCCATTCTTTGAAAGCGCAGTTCCGCCTGCTTGAAATCGTTTACGCGATGCTTTTCCATTAGAATTAAGCATATGTTCTACTTTGTTTTGTCCTTAACAATACTTACTGAAGGCTTTACCATATTTTATCTCAAAAAATGTTTTCTGCTAATCGAAAAGAGCATCATGAAAACTGTTAAACTGCAATGGTTATAAGTTATTCCTCGTTATTTTTATTGACCTATGCTCTCTAAACTGCGCCCTTTGAACTATTGCTAAAGAAGGATCATAAACTACTGAAAGTGCTGATTGACCCTTCGAGTCTTTAATAACTATCTCAATTTGAATTATTGTTTGATAGAAGCTTTCGAAAAACTCTGTCTTATTTCAATAATCTTTTATCATGCTACTATTAAAGCTATTCTTGATAGTGCAAATAACGCATTTTGGTAAGTTTGCAAAATCTTCAAATGAACTGATTAATTGCCCAGATATTTCTCCATTCATGAAATTTAAGCAATGTGGGTAGAATATTTTACCCGTTCCGGGTAGTCCTATATCTTCACATAAATCTTTAAAAATCAGAAAACTTTTCAAAGTTTTCTGAGTGTAACGTTTTTTTTTTTTGTATTTTCTGTTCACTTTTAACTTGTAGAAATGCTGATTTTTCTCGAAATTATTATTATAATTAATCAATATGATTATTAGGTTTTATATACTTTTCACTTAACCATACAATAAGATTCAAATGACAAAATTTGCGATTAAAACATTTGTTTTTTTCTTCCAGAAATTAGTTATCTCATTTTAATCTAAAGATTTTAAATTCTTTTTCTCATTTTTACACTCTAGCAAAATTGCAGTTACACCTAATTTATTCCTCAAAAGATGTGATCAATAGAATTTGAAATTGCATATTCGTACTTATTTTATAAAATAAAATTTATTTACCAATCGGAAATATGCAACAGCAGATGAAATTTGAATGATTAAAGTGGACATCACAATACTTAAAAGCTACCCTAAATGCATTTATGAAATTTTCATAGAAGATTGATGACTATCAGAAGAGAGAAAAGTATGAAAAGCAATATTTCAATACAATAATTTAATTATATATCCCAATCATTTACTAGTACAATCATTGCTATACTCATCGAGTAAATAAATAAGTCTTCTTTTTTTTTTTTTATTCTTACCCAATTTAAACTAGCTGAATTTAAATTATCTAAAACAAAAATGAAAGCATTTTACAAGTTTTGAATTAAAATTGTACTTCAAAAAGTTACGTAAATAACTTTTTTTTTGAAATATAAAATAACTTTGTTAATTATTGTCAGTGATATCATTCACTTCATTATCACTATAAATGATTGATAATTTTAATGGAATGAAGAATTTTAAATAATTTTTTAAAATTTTGTAAATATAAGCATTTGCATCCTTTTTTATGCCAGAAATTTCTAAAATGTTAACAAATATCAATCATTAATGATCCAATGTTGACATTCTCGCCATTTCTTATTATAAGCCATATACATACTCAATAGAAGCTTAATTTCACATTTTTTTTTTCTGAAAATTTAAAATTTGTTGAAATCATTGATATATAATTGAGAAGTTGAATTCATTATAATCATTACATTCGTCTAACTAACACTTATCCAAAAGAATTTTATTTTTTTTAAAGTTATGTCTGCCAGTTCTATTTTATTACTACCACCCATCTTTTGTTATATTTTTAAAGGTAATACTTTTGTCTACTTTTTTTTTAATTTAAATTTACTAAGTGAAAAATTTTAATTCAAAATATCACTATTGATAATTGCTACTTATATCACTTAATAATATCATTAAGCTTTTTTATTATAATAACAATGCGTTAATTGTTGATTGTTGAAATTTGCAAATTGTTTCAACAAATTAAAATAATACAAATTAAACAATTTTTTTTTTGTAAATTTCAAATATTTTTTAAATATTACTATAAAAAAAAAGGAATGAATTACTTTATGTTATTTTTCTAAGCTAATACTTTTTGAAAGACTCAAATGTTTTTAACTTAAAAGCTAAATACTAAAAATATAAAGTCTTACAGTGATATGCTGATAAGTTACTGATATAACTTTTGCTAACTAAAAATAGCTAATAAGACAGATAAGTAGAATCAAATTTTTGACGAAAAATTCTAGTATTTCACTTTCGAGAATAAAAATGCAGTAAAGTGAATTTTTTAATTTTAAATTTGACATTAAACAATTATTTTTCTTTTCAACGATTGTTGTAGTAATTATCATTGTGTATATCAATGCAAAAGCAATTTTTATTGAAATGAAATATAATTTATAATAACATTTATCCACGAACATCAAATTTTGCGATATGAATAATCAATTGAATTGTCAAATTTAAATTTTGTCTTTCGTAAAAAAAAAAAAAAAAAAAAGAAAATCAAATTTTCACAAAATTATTAGTTCGGCAGTTAGTTTCAATAATTTTTTTATATAAATAGTTCTTTTTTTTTCTTGAACTAGAAAGGAAAATAATAATATTTCAAAAAATTCAACATGCAATATTTAGGATAATAAAATTTGATAAGTAACTTCACTAACATGAATATCTATTTTTATATTTCTATTAAATCGAATTTCTTGAAAAATTCCTTTTAAAAATATGTATTTTTTTTAATAAAGTTTTTTTTTTTTTAAGAACTAGTTTATAAAAGTTTAAGACTTCAAATATTTCTTCAAGTTTTTTTTTTTTTCTCTCTTTAATTTTGTGAAGAAAGAGAAAATAAAAGTGATAGATGAGCTGCAAAAATAAATTGGTACTTAAAGAGAATAAATGAAACAAAGTTAAAGATAATTCAAAATAAATAAATAAATAAATCTGCACTTCTGAAAAGGTTTAAATTGAAAAAAATTCAATACCTCTAAAATAAGATATAGAAGAAAGATTTTTAATCAATTGTAAATCCAAATTAATGTGGAAAAAAGTGTTATATGCTTTGATTGTTAATTTAATTATTAAAATTAAATGTTATTTCAATTATTGCTAGTTGTTAAAATTAAATCCTATTTTATTAATTATTAAAATTAAAAATTAAAAATTTTTTTAAAATTTGTTTTAAATCATCGCTTATTATCACTATCATATCATATGCAAAATGCTTTACATTAATTTACCTTAAACTAACTATTCAAAATTGTAGAAGAGAAATATGATAATTTAATAAGATAAAACAATTATCACTAATTATTATCAGTTGATAGTTATTATTATGATCACAAAGAAAATTATAATTATTATCACTACTTTATTCTATTCCTATGATATTGGAAACTAATGTAATTTCAATTTAATTATTAATAAATTCAAATACCTGTACGATTCTACTCATTGATTCATTTATTGAATATTTAATTTTGGCTAATTAATAACAACAACAAAAAAAAAAACGAAATAAGAATTGAAAATATTTGATTTAAATAAGAAGTAAAAGTTTAATTATTTAAAATAAAATTTTACAATTAAGTAAACAATAAATGAACAATTTAAAAATAATTTTGTTTTTTTTCTTTTTTACAATATAAGATAAAGTAATTATCATATCAGTAGAATATCATAGTATGTTATTAAATTTGTTCTAAATCATCGCTTATTATCATTATCATATCATATGCAAAATGCTTTGCAATAAAAAATTTTTCATAATAAATTATTTAAAAATTTTTTTTTCACTATTTTCAACTAAATGAATTGAAATAATTGCTGTAAAAATAAAATTGTATATCAATAACTGATAACAAACTGTAGTATCAGTTTTAGGTAATCTTATCAAAAAGTATAAAAAGAAAGAAATGGATGTATTTTAAATTCAGATATCTTTTTCCCTTTTCTTTTTTCCTTTTTCTTCTTTTTTTTTTTTTAAATCGATTCTTAATAGTGATTCAATTTCATTCAGTTTAATTTATTTCTATTTCTTTTCATTTTATTTTTAGGAAAAAGAGAGAGAGAGAGAAAGAGAAAATGGTAAAAATTGTTTAGGCAAATTTAATGACATATTTAAAAGCATTTTTACAATTTTTTTTTTTTTTGGATTGGAAAGCATTCACAAAAAAAAAAAGAACAATCAACCTTAGAGAGTAATTTATAATTATCAAATTTGGATGAATCGCTGATAAAATGGAAAATACAGACTATGCGCTTTTATGATTTCAATCATTTTTTTCTTTTTAAAAGCCTGAGAAGATTGAAAAATAAATTAAAAGTAGAATGAAATTTTTAATTGAAAAAGAATTTATTTAAAAATTTTTTAAAATGTTCGAGAAATTTTTGCTGCAGCATGCAGTAAACAATCGATGCCAACATTTGTTGAACCTGTAATGGCGAATGTCACCGCAATTAAAGGTCAAGATGTGGAATTCAGGTGTCAAGTATCCAAACTTGGCAAACATATGGTACCATTTTAAATTGCTTAATTTCAATCAATCAAGTATTTTGTGAAGAAAATGAAAAGAAAAAAAAATGATCTAAAATTAAAATATGTTTTGATGGATTTTCAAAATTTTCGAGAAATTTATAAGAACTTCAGCTAAATTTTTAAAAGTTTTGAGAATTGATACTATGCTGTAAGATTTCTGAATTTTTTTTTAAAAAATGTTTTTATCATATTTCTGAATTTCTGAATAAAATAATGTTTAATAGTTCATGAATTAACTAATTTTGTCAGATAACATATGATGCTAGAACGGAATCATATCCGGAAAGAATTACCTGAAAATGATGTAATAATACTGAACTGATTGTGTTATTACTTGAGTAATCCTGATATCTGTAGATGGTGAACAAAATTAAACTTATAAATTCCATTTTAGTTATCTAATAAAAACTTTTTCACATCTTAGCTTTTTTCCAGGTAGCATTTGCTCGAGCAGATACGCCACCGAGGTTAATTGCTTTTGATGAAAAGGTTTAGCTTTAATTTTTTTTTTCAATTCATTTTTTAATTGCTAGCTAAATTCTATTGAAATTTTGTATCTTGTTGTAAAAATTTTGTATTTTTTTTCAATTTACTATCCAATTTGAATTAGAAATAAAACAATTCCAATTTAAATTTAAATCATTCAAGTTAAATTTAAGGTATTCCGGCAACGATACAAATATGAAATTAGACGAACAATGAACGATAATGAATGGATTTTAGTCGTTAAAAATATCCAAGTAAGAGTGAAGTTTAAAAAAAAAAAATAAGATTAAAATTTTAAATTTAACTCCGTTTTTTTAATTATAAAATTTTAACTTTATTTTTAATTTAATTATTCAAGAGTGTCTATTTTAGGAAAATGATATAGGTGGTTACTCGTGTCAACTAAACACCGATCCAATACTTTCAAAAACTGGTTACCTTCATGTTAAAGGTAAATCTTTTTAATAAAATAGTAAATTAATGATACCATGAAACTTTTCTGATAATATATACTGACGACATATTACTGAATGTGTAATGAGCCATGAAAAGCAAAGGATTAACTTTGAGTGAAAGGGTTGACAAGATTATCAATCGTCTTCATGATCTCTTTGATTTCTAATTTAATGGAGAAATCTCGAGATAATGATATTTAGATCCTTTTCTCAATCCCTCACTTAACAACTTAACAGTCCATTAACCAACAAACCATTTAATGCTTATTAATTCATCTTTCTGATATTTATTGTTCTTGATTTGTTGATTAGTACCTAAATGAAAATCATCACTTTATCTTTTGCTAACTATGTGAGAATTATTTCAAATTGGATTAAATCCATCTTCGTTCTTTTCTTTTTTTTTCTTCCTTTCTTCATTCATTTACAAAAAGACAAATTTATTCAATTCAATAATAAAAAAATTTTATAAACAATGCAAACAAAATTTATGTACAGAAAGGTTCAATCCTTATACTTTAGAACAATAAAATTCTAAAAAAAAATGTATGCAACCTTTGAATAAATAATAAATTGGATTTAAATTTTAATAAAGATCAAGAATCACACAATATAAGTATGATAGTAAAGAATTTTGCTAATATCAATAATTATTTATTACTGTTTTTGTTCATTTACACAGCTTTATTGGCTGGTTAAAAATTAATTAGAAATTAAATGGAAAGGAGAGGTAATGAATTGAACGTTGTTTTTGAAATTTTAAAATTTTTCTAAAAAATATAAAATGGAAAGGAAAAATTAAGTGAAAAGTATTATTTAATAGGTTTGGTTTCTTTTTTGAAAATGTTAATAGATGTTAAATCACTTATTCATTTGTCCTTTCTTTTATAAATCAATGTACTATTATTATATTTCTGTTGGGATATTGAATTGATGAAGGAGAAAGAGAACAAATGAGAGGTGATAAATGCCACCTGCTGCTAGGAGGAAGTTAATATTGAATTAATTAAGCAATGAAAAGGTAGTAAAACGCCTAATAATTGATTAACTGAAATAGACTTTTTAGAAAAAGCCAAATAGAACACTAAATTATTCATCAATTCTTATCAATATTTGAAAATTTAAGTGCATTAAAAGTTAATTTAAATTTGATTAGCTTGAACATATACAAATAAAGGGGTTTTTGCCAGAGATTTGCATTGATTTTAGCGGAAATGTCTGAATCGCGCGCATTCTTTGAGCAAATAATCAAAGAAGCACAAATTTTGTAATTAAAAATTTTAAAAATAAATGACAAATTGTAGTTGACAAATCATACTTTAATTTGGATAGTGTAAATAATTAATTATACTACTAATTATTCATCACAACTCTCTCAACTCTTTAGTTTTGGCCAACATTTTACTGTTTGTTTGATTAATTATCAGCCAATATTGGTGTAATTGAAATTTTTTTAAAATGAATTTTTTTTAAAAAATTTTAAAATGAATGCTAAATATTTAGCAATTGTAAAAAAAAAAAAAAAGGAAAATGTTTAGTTCCACCGTACGTGGCTCGAACAACAGCAGCAGTTGTAGAGGTACGTGAAGGACAAAATGTTACTTTGTCATGTCGAGCATTTGGTGATCCACCACCGACTGTCGTATGGAGGAGACAAGATCGACAGATTATCCGATTTAATGGTGTTACTGGCTATGGAGGTTAATAAAATTTATGATTTGTAAGCTTATGAAAGTAAACTCATTTAGAATTTAATTTTTAGAAAAATTAGCAAAAATAAATGGAACTTAATGCAAATTAATAATTACAAAAAATTTAAACATTGTTCATTTTTAGCAACTGTATTCAATGGTTCTGATATGACAATTATTAAAGTAAGCCGTAAACATATGAGCGAATATATTTGTGTCGCAAGTAATGGTGTACCACCAGATGAGTCCTGGACTGTGAAACTTCATGTTACATGTAAGTTATCATATCATTAACAATAAAAATTATTCAAATTATTAGTTGTAGTATGATTTTAAAATTTTATTTTAAAATTTTCACTTATAATATGTGTGATTTTAAAATTTTATTTCAAATTTTATGAAAAATAAATTTCTTGTTGGAGGTTTATGTATTGATAAAAACTATTGTAAATAGCTTTTGTAGTGGAAGCAAAAAAAATGTTTTTGGAAACAAACCTTTATTATTTGGTTAAATTGTTATTCGGGGGAGAAGTTTGATGTCAGGGAGAATGTTGGATGCCAGCTAAATATTTGGGCAACAATTGAATAAAACTGATTCGGAGGATTGGATGATTTAAACTGATCTAATTGACAATAGTATGGTTATAAATCTACATTGATGTTAGACAATGATCCAAACAGGCCCAAACATTTTATTAGATAACCGCATGATATATGATAGCTAACAAAGAACAATGTAGATATCCTCATGATTGTAGGATTGCTAACAAAGAACGATGTAAATTGTTTCAATATGTAGCATAAATTTGAAACAAAGAGTCCGAAGTATAAGCATTATTTGCGGAAATTACGTAGAAATCTTTACTACAATTTGCAACTCATATTTTTAGATCGCGATATTAAAATCCGCGACACTCCGACCGAAGGAGCAATGCTTTAGTTGTTGGACAGCTTTTGTTGATTGCTTCGTTTATAGCGCTTCTAGTTCGTAGAGCAATTGGTTCTTGTTCATTGACATTTTGCACTGATTTGTTAAACATTGTTGGTTGAGGGTCAATTTCCTCACCTTTGACTTCCAGTGGGTATAACATATTCACCGGTCTGTTGAGTATTTTTCTTTTTCGGTATTTTCTTATCGACATTCTCACTCCATCCTTTCCTGTTTTGATTTTCTCTTATTCTGGCAATCCACATGCCACGGGAATTTCTGGTTCATTTAGTAACACATCTCTCCCTCGTGGGGAATTTTACTACATCTCTTGGAGAAGAGTGTTCCCTTTGTGCTCTTTCTTTAAGAGTATTTAAATATTCTTCAATATTTCCCAGAAGGCATCGAGGGCCTTTAGTGTATTTGACCAGTATTGAATGATTTTCTTTCGAATCCAATTTATGAGGGATAAAATCATCCATTTATTCTTGTTTTTAGCAGGCATGATTACGCATTCGGTAGTATAAAGTCAATGGACGCAATATGATACAATCATCAAAATTTACGTGTTAGTGGTCGAGTATTCAAAATACTTTCCACTTCCGCTACTAGCGTAATCAATCCCGTTCATAATAACTTTCTGCCGATGGCTCTTTTCATTGCCCTTTTGTTAACCCAGTCGCTCATACTCCTCCGTTCCAAGGCGCCTTTGGTATTATATTTTTCCAGATCATTTTCCTTTCCGCTAGGAATTATTTAATTGTTGTTTCACAATGATTTTAAAATTAACTGAATTGACCAGCGTTGTCGTTAAGATTAATTCTGAAAGCCTCGTCTTGCTGTAAATCTTCTGAAAACATGTAAAGCTTTCGGCTGAAAGAGTTTCTACTATTCTAGATGTACAGCTCTTGTTGTGAACATGTGAATAGTGCTACCCATCTTTTTGTTAGCCATTATCACTCCTGATATTCACAGGACCTAAATAGTCTAGTCCTACTCGCGCAAAGGGTCTTGATCTTGTGGTCCGAGATGCTGGAAGATCAGCCATAGTTGGTAATTTGAATGGTTTAGTTGTCCAGCGTCTGCACTTCATGCACTTATTCAAGATTCGTTTGACTTCCGTTCTACCTTTGGGATCCATATGTCGATCTCAGATTTAGAAAATGAGCAATTCCAGCATGATACAGTTGTTCATGTCGTTGCTGAATAAAGAGTTCAGTTATGGTGTTGTGTCTCGGGAGATATATTGGGTGTAAGTTACTTTCAGAGTTAACTACGCGGCTTTTGTATCTCCATAGTTCGTTTCATAGAACAAATTCCATTTGATTATTTCATCTTTGGTAACTCCTTTGACTTGCTTGTTTGAATCACAATTTCTGACAACTCGTAATCCTGTGTTGTCAATATATTCTTTTCTTTCGTTGCCATCTTTAGCCAGGAATTTCTTTTCGTTGTTAATCTTATGAATTTCAGAACCCAACCAGTTGTTCTTATTAATCTTGACCATTTGCTAAAACGACTAGCATCTAAGATTCCGAAATGTTTGTTTATGATATTGGTTCTGTGATGGGCCACAATTTCTTCATCCAAATCCTCATTGTAATTGTATTTCCACTGTGGCCATTTTGATTCGTTTTCTGTTAACCACTTTGGTCCTTTCCACCAAAGATCATATCCTTAGTTTATTCGGAGAGATTCCTTTGTAGCTATATCAGCTGGGTTTTGTTCACTTGGATATATCTAAATGGATTTTCGCCTTTCGTATTTCTTCTACCCTATTTTGTATGAACGTTGGTAGTAAACGGAACTATTGTGAACCCAATGAAGCGCACATTGAGAATCGGACCATAAAATTGTTATCACGTCCTCAGCTCTTTTTTGTTTTAATACGAATTGTACCATTCTCACTCCGATGAGTATTGCCAGTAATTCTAATCGAGGTATTGACATTTTTAATTGGCGCAATTCGGATTTAGCAAACACTAAGAATATCTTCTTTCTTGAGTTCGAATGTATAAAGCTGCTGATATGCAGCAGTTGATGCGTCAGTTAAAAACATGAAATTGTACTTGCTTGGAACAATTTGTTGTGAATCTTGGTAGATCCTTTAGTTTCTTGGCCATTCGTTCGTGAGTAATTTCCACGTGGTTTCATCTCACTTATAGTTTGATCCCATGAAAGGTTCTTTTTTCCACAAAGTTTGGAGAAACAATTTGAATCTTATCAGTATAGGAACTATGAATCCTAGTGGGTCATATTGTGAGGCTACGAATTGCAATATAATTCTTTTAGTTAATTTCTTACCAAACCATGGTTTTAACGTTACTTGAATGATATCTTGTTTGTGGTACCAATTGAGACCTAATTTTTTTAATTGAACTTACCTCTGCTCGATCTTGAACCGGAAGTTATTGACTTTTGTCGTTAGAGAGAAATTCCGTACATTCATTGATGCTTCATTGAATATATTTTAATTTCCTTATAATTGGAAAGAGCTTCGTTGGTTTCCTTATTGGTATTATAATGTTATCGACATAGAGATTTCCTTAACTCGAGTGCGATTTTTGCTTTTACAAGTTTCCAATGATAATTGAGTGTAGCGGACAATAAAAATGGAGATGATACAATTCCAAATGGAACAAGTTGGAAACGGTAACAACTTACGTTTTCGTTAACTGACTTCGAATGTCTTTCAACCAAAGAAATCGAGTGCAGTTTCTATCTGTTGGATGCAATTCTATTTGCAAGAACGCCTTTTCTACGTCTGCTATTATTTTATTTTTTTCATTGTACGGAAACGAGCAAAACTCCAACCAAATCAAGAGTGTTATTGGTCCCCGATATAAAACATCATTTAAACTTTCATTCCTTTACAATGAGCTGATGCATCATAAACTATCCTCAGATTTGTCGTGGTTTTATTTGGTGTTATTACTCATGATGAGGCAGATAATGAATAATACCAACCATTCATTTCCGATGACACTTTCTCAATTATATTGGAATTGAGTTGTTCTTCAATAGTTTGATTGTATCGACTTAGTAATTGAGGTTTCATTTGAAGCCTCCTATTAACGACTTTAATCTTCCAAGGCAAAGTCCGAAATTATCGCTTAGTTTGTTCTTTGAATCTTCCAAGGCCAACAAACTTGATATCTTCCCTTGTCCCTAGTGATAGTTTGTTTAAATTGCTGCAATGCTTTTTCATCATTGTCAGAGTTTATTTTGTCTTGTATACCTAATTCCAGTTTCCAAAAGTGATCTAAGTCTGGAATATTGACGGCATTGACTTGAGAAATCGGACTTACTGATGTGGGTTTCTGAAATACTGTCGTATTTCATTTATATACCCACTTCAGCTATTATAGGTCCAACCTTTGTATGGATCAATGAAAACTGATTTTAAGTTCTAGCTTGGTCAAACTGATAAACTTGAAGAAGTGATCCGCACCTAGAGTATGTCCGGTTGTTTCCATTTGTTTTGAAATTACTAAACTGATTTCGTTTGTTTCATCAACAATTCCTTTTGTTTAGATTAACTACTTCAATTCATTCGTCAAGTGGTTAACTGTTATTACATCTAATCGGATTATTTTTTATTTCCATTTTACTCCGATTTCAGTTTTGTAGTGATACACGTTTTTATGTCTTATCACCAAATGAAGCAATTTTTATTTCCTCTCGTTAGTTTCTTGTAGATTCAATCGATAAGCCAAACTTTGATATGAACGATAATTGAGAACCAATATCGAATAGAATTTAAAGCTTTTGTTAATTTTTGGGCGATTTGGATTGGTTACATTTATTTCCTTACATAACAGTAAGGTTCTTTTCCATTGATTTCCTTTTTCGGTAATGGAGTTGCATCAACTTAACCCGTTGGAATCCACTGCTTGCGTGAGTTCCTTGTAGTTGTTGGGACACAGTGCTGTATTGTGTGGATTTTACAATGGAAACATAAAGGTCCCTCCTTTTACAATCACTTGTTGTGTCCTTTTCAAACATTTGAAACATGAGTGATTTCTCTCAAACGTTCCATCCGAGTTTGAGAGTGATAGATGTTACATTCATTGTTCCAGTGGTCCTATTGCAAATGCATGGCTTTTCCATTTATAGAAATTTTCCTGGAACCTTGATTTGAATTATCTCCCTTTTGGTTTGTGGCGAAAGGACGTTTCGCCTCTAACATTATTTTTGTTTGTTTTCTTCTCCCTTGTGTCTGCTTGACTAGCAACTTCTTCATTTCTTAGAACTAGTTTTGTCAGGTACTGCCGGATATCCTAACTGACCAACTCGTCGAATCCTTTTCAATTGGTATAATTTATCAATTATCCACGCTGGTAGTTTATTTCAATTGTAATTTCGA